GATTTAGTATAACAAACATTAGAGTAGACTCTAGTATTGAGTGTTTTTATTTGGCTTGTAAACTTTGGTTTAAGAGTTTTAATAAAATATTTAGTTCCTTCAGGTACGTGAAAGCGGGGAAGGTACAACCTGTATCTGTTTTTTAAATATTTGATAAAGAGATATGTAAAGGGAGATTTTATAAATCTCAGTGTATATAAAAAGAAAATAATTTTATTTTGTGGTTTTTATCATAGCCTGTTCTTTATGATGCTGCTGAATGAATATGTAATTCAAGTAGGTTTGGGAAAGTAAAAAAGTAAGGAATTAACACTGTGGATTTAGAAAGGAATAGAAATAATCAGTCAACAAGCGTTTAATGAATATTTTACTACAGTCTAAAGGAAAAACAGTCTTTGATGGAAATCAACATTATGTTATTAAATTTTCTTAATAGGGAGATAGAGCAATGCCTATTCCTTAAAGTTTCTGTATTGAATTTCTACATTAAAGTCTAAACATTATGGAGAAAACCAAATGAATTCTATGTTGTATAGACAAACACACACAGACACACATATACAAATACTTAGTGATTTCTACTTTCTATGGCCTAATGGCTTCCACTGACTTTGATTTCTACTTGCTGTCATTTTATATGTAGCTTGATTTTATCCTTTTCCTTACCATACTACCCCTACCCTAAGAACTTTTCAGTTCTCTGAGTTCAAATTGCCAAGAGAGAGATTCTCACCCCCCCCCTTTTTTTTTTTAAGACGGGGTCTTGCTCTATATCCCAAGCTAGAGTGCAGTGGCGCCATCATAGCTCACTGCAACTTTAAACTCCTGGGTTCCAGCAATCCTCCTGCCTCAGCCCCCCAAGTAGCTGGGACAACAGGCACGTACCACCACACCCAGCTAATTTTTCTGTTTTTGTAGAGATAGGGTCTTGTTCTTTCTCAGGCTGGTCTTGAACCCCTGGCCTCAAGCAATCCTCCTGCCTCAGCCTCCCAAGTGCTAGGATTACAGGTATGAGCCACCACGCCTGGCTGATGTTTTTCTCTTAAGTTTTTCAGCATAGCTGTTCAGCATATCTTTCCAAATAGACCATTAGGCTATTGGCAAGCCTATGTATAGACTGGACTTGAGTCAGAATCTAGCCAGATGTGAACAAGTAGCAGGCTTAGGGATCTATGTGGTAGAAACCCCTTTGAACAAGGCCGTTCTGAAGCCTCTCCAATATAATATATGTAATATTTTAAACATATTCTTGATAAATTCCTGATATGATTTTTATATAAATTTATCGGAAGGGTGGTAATTTCATGTCTCTAAAATTAGCTTAGGAGAGCTGCTACTCTTCAGTTGAAAAAGTAAATTGGCTGAAAAGCAAGAGATTTTTAGAAAGAGTTTACTTTTTCCAGAGACTGGCATGTTGCTTTTACATTGGCAGTG